AACTCGACGACGTGTCTTGGACGGCGGGCTTCGATTTTCAGCGGATTCTGATTGCGGTGTCTTCTGAGAAGTTACTCCAGGAGTTTTTCGTTTACTTGGCAACTCTGCTCCAGCGTAAGTAGACGGGAAAAGTCGCATTCGTCTGAATAGCATGAGGGGACCAATAGGACCCATTCTAGTGCCCGCAATTGGCTCGGCAAGCTTTCGAGGTGACTTGGTAGTCGATGTCCCTGTTGGCCCAGCATCAGAAAGTTTCGCCTTTTGCTCAGACGATGACTTGGCAACGGTGTTCACAGCCTTACCATTTTGGCGAATAACAACTGAAGGCTTCGTGTTCTCGGTAGCAGTCATCTTAATTCTGTCCTGTACAAAGCTTGAAACTGCTTCGCAATCAGGTTCTTCGGGTACTGGAAGGGTCACATACTTCCGCTTGATCACTGGTAAAGTTCCACTCAAGGTCGAAGGCTGTTCCATTGTGTCAACATCGTCCGAGCCTTCTTGTGAAGTAGAAGTAGTGGGAACGAGATCCTGATAACTGGCCGCAGTATCTGACGGGGTGGACGCAGTTGAAGAAGTTGGCGTTTGCGGATTAGGTAGAGCTGAAGCGGTGGTAACTGCTTTAGGGGACTGCTTCAGAATGTCTTCTATAGCAAAACTCGCAACACGTGGGCGACTTTTTACACCTTGATTGGGCTCCATGTTTGACAATGGGCTGGATGGGCATGATGCGGAATTGTTCATCAAACTGAATGGCGACGGTAGCGGTTCTGGATAGCATGGAAAAAGTGGACTGAGTTGGCGAAGGCTCTGCACTAGCGGCACTATTTCAGTTGGGAAAATAAGTCCTTGCTGATTGGGTGGTAACAGACGCAGGTTGCTCATCGTGGGATACACCGGAATGGGACGCAAGATGGAACTAGAGCTTGATGGACCAGAAAGTTCTTCAGCTTCTTCATTGTGGTGATTTTCACTGGTTTTACTGGGCGACGTTCCGTCTGTGGCTGTCTCCATTTCCAAACTGTAGGTATGATATTCCTAAGGTAGGCCAGACTCATCTAATTCAGCCGGTTCATCCGATTCATCCCATTCGCTATTGGTCAAATCATTGAACTGACCAATGGCGAATGAGCTGAATGATAGGTAAGCGTCAGACTATCGGCTTGCCTGCTTGTGCAGCAGAACGCACGC